GTGATCCTATTCAGAGCAGTTGGTATTGGTAGCTGAGAACAATCTAGTTCTTCTGGTCTCAGAGTCACGGAGAGAGATGTTCACATGTTCCACTAGACTAATTCATTCCAAGTCTCTTCAGTTCTTATCGCTCTTCTTTCTTCTGCACTTGGAGAGACTAATAGCTACGCTTTAGATGGTCACTCAAGACCTTTTAAGATTCCAGATGCTACTCACAAAAGTAGGATATAGAGCATTGACTTTGTGGACTATATTATGCCAACTGACCGTGGTGTCCCCTGAGATTATGATCCTGAGCTCACAGGCCTAGCAATTTATGGCCTTAAGATGTTTGATAATATCTAAGAAGTTTTCATTATTTTGCCCAATGTACATTCTACCACATTACTAGTTTTATCTTCAGGAAAGGTAAATACTTATGTACCATTATCCTCTTTCAAACTCATATATCTGTGACACATATAAATACACAAGGGTGAGTCAAAAATTATCCACAATCTGGCTTTAAAATTTATTTTAATCAACTTTTAGGAAAGACAAATATATCATTTTCAACATATTCTCCTTGCTTTTCAATACACTTTGTCCATCTGTCAACAAGAATTCATATTCTCTTATTAAAAAATGTTTTAGGGTGAACTTCAAGCAATGAATGCACTGTTATCTTCACTTCTTCATCAGAGGTGAAGGTTCATCTTTGAATGGCTGTTTTCAGGGGACCAAACAGGTGAAAATCTGATGGAGCAATATCAAGACTCTAGGGAGGATGCTTTAACACCTCAAAGCAATGTTTTTGCAGAATGTCACAGTGTGGGCAGACGTATGGGAAAATCACAGTGTCCTTGGATCACAGTCCTCTGTCTTTAATCTGAAGTTTAGGCTTTAGCTCCTCAGTGAGCATTTCACCATGATGAATACTGTTGATTAAACCTTTTCCCTGATCGCACTCCAATATTGGCCCTGGAGAATCCCAGAAAACTGTAAGCATCAATTTTCCAGCTGATGGTTGACTTTTGAACTTTTTCTTGGTCAGTGATTGAAGATGTTTCCATTCCATACTCTCATGTTTACTCTCAGGCTCATAGTGATTAATCCATGTTTCATAACCAGTGAAGATTTTTTTTCACAAACTTTAACCTTCCTTCGAGTATTGGTCTAAATTTTGTTTGCAGATACCTAAACACATCTGTTTAATGCTCTTCCATGAGTTATTTCAGTACCCATCTCATGCAAACTTTTCAAAACCCAAGCCTATCATGGATTATTTCATAGGTAGAGCCATGGCTGATTTGCAAATGATCTACCAAGTAATTTACTGCCTCTCATGTATTTGGCAGAATCATTTCATGTGTATGCTCAATGGCTCAATGTTGTCATCAGCTGTGGACATGCACAGGTGTTTTAATATAACAAAAGTGCAGGTAATTTTTGACTCACACTTTTGTGTGTGTGTGTATGCATGTGTATCCCCCTCTTTTCTCGCCCATTTGACTTATGTCTCAATTAATGTATTGACCCACAGAATACTGTTGTTCCAAGGCTTTCTATACATCACCCTTTAACTCCATCCCTTTTAGCCCATGCATGCCTCCCTGTGTCTTTACCTATTTCATCATTCTTCTGCCACCCTCTTCCTTCTTGTATGCTGCCCTCCTGGACACCTGAGATAACATGTGTCTAGTCTCTCTTCAGTGAATTACTCTCTCTTCCATCCTACCCTTAGACTAACTCTTAATATTTTCTGACATATTTTGAAGGAGAGTACGAATTTAGGCCAATTATTTACTATTTCAAATTAACATCAAAATAAGAGAAAGGAATGCCTAATTCCAATAGATCCATTTGCTAGGCATTTGTGAAATTGCAAGATATAAGAATGTTAAGCTAATGTGTGTAGGATTTGTGTAAAATGTATATCAATAACTTTACAATTTCAACAAGGAAATTCAAAGAGACACAGAAAGATTAAAAGGGAGGGCTCTACTGAACTCAGTATTAGACCAGAGATAAAATAATCACCAAGGTACATCTTGCAACCCTACAATTCAGTATTCACAATGAATACGTGTCCAACATCTAGTTCAGGAAACCACTTTGAAAGGACAAAACACTCCGTGGAACTTTACCATGTGTAGTCCTGCTGACCACTGTGAAAAAAATCAGCAACATTTTTCAGTTTTTACCCATTATAAAAAAGCATTGCGATAGTTTCCTATTTATGTACACGTTCATATTTTTGAAAATCTACCGGAGCCTACAGTAGAATACAGGCTTAAAAACTACACTCATTTCAATAATTGGTATAACCTTTATGTTGTATATATCTAACCACCCAACTACTTTAAAACTTGTTGAGTTAAGTGCCATCAAGTCGACTCCGACTCATAGCAATACTGTATAGGGTTTCCGAGGAGCGACAGTTTTGAACTGCTGACCTGTAGCTCAAACTGACCTTGCAATCCAGTGCTTTGTACTACTAAGCACAGAGTACTCGATTTTTTTTGTTGCTACTAAGAGATAGAAGTCCTGGTGTAGAGCTGCAGGATAATGCTCTGGACTACAAGGTCACTTTGAATCACAAGGTTGTTGGTTCAAACCCACCTGCTGCTCCTCAGAAACCCTATACAGAGTTGCTATGAGTCAGAAATGACTTGATAGCACTTAACAATAACAATTAAGAGATAAAATCAAAGCAAATCAATGCAATTTTATACATTTAAAGCTGTATTAATTATTTCATATATAAACTGTATACTCATGAACAATCAAAGTAAGTGAGGGGATTACTTGCAATATTTTCCATTCAACTAACCAAATACACTTACCACACTTCCAGAGACATTTCCAGAATCATTTCAGTGACCTAAAAAAAATAGTTAGATTAGATCATTAAAATAATGCAAATTTTATATAATACATGCTAGTTCAAACATAAAGAGACCCAGTGGCACAATACTCAGCTGCTGACTGAAAGGTCAGTGGTTCGAACCCACCAGCTACTCTGTGGAGGAAAGATGAGGTGGTCTGTTTCCAAAAAAATTTTCAGCCTTTGAAGTCTTCTAGGGCAGCTCTATGCTGTCCTGAAGGGTTCCTGATCTGGAATTCACTCAATGACAATAGGTTTGGGAGGAAGTCAAACATGATGTATGTGTTCAAGAAATACAAGACCTACCATTAAAATGAGATTAGTTTAATGTTTTTATTCTAGAAAGCAAAACCATCACAGGTAAATGGAAATTAAAAGAGGACTACTACTCAGTACAGAATTTTCTAACAAATACATTCAGAGCAAAAATGTCCTTCCTATTCCAAAATAAAAATTGTTATGAAAAAATTGGTTTCCCAACTGGCAGGTCCCTAATCAATTTATATAGTGAAATATTTAATTCCTGACTATATTCAATGTCTACTTGTACCGACTACTAAATAATGTAAAGGAAAAATAACTACACCATTAACTGCAAATTGTCACATCTATCTTCTGCATAATACTGTCCCTTCTTTATCTACCAATAATTTTTGACATTTATGATCCTCGCAAACTGATGAGATCCTTTAAATAAAGGCAAAAGGAGAAGGAAGACATGGGATTGTCTGTGTTTTTGAGTATAACAAAATTCATTGCCATGGATCTTGTCACATAGACTTGGATCCTCATTTTCATATGAAGTTCTAGTGAGTCACTCACTGTCAAGAGTAAATTTTACACCCTCAATGATGTTCAGACATGCTACTGAACTTGACATTCACAAACACTCTCCACCTTTTACCTGGAACATTTCATTTAGATAAAACTGCCTCAAAGATACAAACTTCTTGGGCAAGATGACAAAATAATCAGACACATGACAAGGATTCTGTATAACAAAGATACAAGACACCACATGAAACTGACACAGGTGGAAATCATGGAATTCTGAACTTGAGAGGAAAGGTTAGAGAAGTGGATTGGGTGATTGCTGGAAGAAGTTGGTCGGATATGGCAAGAGAGGGAGACTGCTGGCCAGATGCAGTATGACCATCTTGAACATTTTTGAGCAGTTTTGGCGACAGAAGGTGGTCTGGCAGAGCAGACTGACACAAACAGGAAAGGTGCAATTCCTTCTTTTTCCTCACACTTTCCTGGTAACCAGAGGTATGGGAAACTCCCAACTCTCATCAACTCCGACCATAGATACTGCTTTCCCAGAGTTATGAACTTCCTGATTTTGAGCCATGGGAAAATATGTCTAGGGTCGACTGTACTGATTTGGTGCCTGAATTCAGGTGGGATTGACTCCATACCCACAGAACCTGCAGAGCACCCAGACCAGCATTAGTATAGCAGAAACCCTCATAAAGAGCCACCTTGCCCCTAGCTGTGGTCCTAACAGATACTGACTACAGCTCCATCAAGGGCCTCCATGAACTACTTCAGGACTGAATGCCCTGATGATAGATAATTCCTAAGCCTATAAGAACTCCCTCTAGGGCTAGGAACTCTGTGGCCACGTACCTCCCAAACCCATCTCAGAAGCTTTTTGACTGGCAGAAGCCCCCCAGAAAACTTTCTCCTCTCCAGGTGCAAAAGTTGCATGGTTTTTTGTTGTTGTTTCTGTTTGAGTTTTTGTCATTGTGCAATATTGCTGTTTTTGTTTGTTCATTCTTTCTCCTCCTCTTTCTCTTTCCTTCCCATTGAATTTTATCCTTTTTATCTCTACTTTTGTTTTTCTTTATTTATTCTATTTCTCCTTTTGCTTCCTTGTCTTAGATCTCTCTTTAATACTCTCAGTCTCTTTTCATCTTCCTACTCCTGGATTTTTCTAAGTTTTTTTTTTTTTTTTTCATTGTTGTTTTTTTGTTTTCTCTCCCTTATTTTTCTGTTCTATAGTCTAATGTCCTGTCTCTCTTTTCTTTTTATTATATTCTTTTATTTCTTGGTTACTGCCTGTTTTTACTTATTTTTTTCTTCTTTATCATCTCCTTTATCACTGTTGGTTGTTTTTTTGTTGTTGTTGTTGTTTATTTTGCTTGTTTTCTAGTGTGTGCGTGTATGGGGAGGGAGGCAGGAGATGTTTCTTCCCATTCTCACCAGGCAGGAGTCAGCAACCATACCAATACAGCTAGCCATAACCATAGCTTCTGCAGCTCTATCCACAGTGCAAGAGGCAATACCACCTGATCAATGATAGAGCAGCCAACACTAATCAAACCCACTGTAAGCAGAAGTGCATAGACAGTGAATGAAGAATGATGCACATGCTTCCATTTTCTATTACGCCCACAGGATACAATAAGTTCGAGCCTAAGAACACATACAATCATCAATTAAACACAAATACAACAACACCACAATGTCTCAGAGACAACAGACAACTTTAGTTCACATGAAGAAACAAGCGAGACTGGCTCAATCAAATGACCAAGATGCAGAGCCAAAAAAAGTTTCTGAGAATGCAAGGTAATGGAACTAACTGAAAAATAATTCAAAAGTAAAATATTTAGGTACCTAAAAAAGAATGACAGAATGATTGAGGAAATGAAAGGGAACACAGGAAAATAAAAAATTAGAATTCAGAGAAACACTATAAGAGCAAACAAAGTAAATGCAAATTTTGAAAAGAACAAACCAACCACAAAACCTGTAATTAGGAATCCAGAAGATTAATACCAAGATTTCAGAAATAGACCATATGGTGAAGGGGCAAAGGAGTATATTTGAAGCAATGGAAAGCTGAATTAGTGAGTTTGAAGACCAAACTCTTAACACTAGTATGCTAAAAGAACAATCAGGAAAAAGTGAAAAACTCTGAAGAAAGCAGAATAGTTATGTGGGACACCAGGAAGAGGAATAACATGAGTTATCAGAATTCCAGAACAGGTAGAAACAACACAAAGCACAGAGAAAATTGTCAAAGAGTTGTTTGAAGAAAATTTCTCTAATATTAGGAAATACAAGAAGATAAGCACACAAGAAACTGAAAGAACCCGAAATAGGATAGATACAAGAAGTAAATTACCAAGATATATCATAATCAAACTTTCCAATACCAAAGCAAGAAAGAATTCTGAAAGAGGAATTCAGAAAAAAAAAAAAAAAAAAAGTTACCTACAAAGAAGAACCAATAAGACTAAGCTTTGACTTCTCAGAAGAAACCACACAAGAAAAAAAAAGCCAACCAAAGAATCATATAACCAACGAAGTTGTCCCTCAGATTCAAAGACGAAATTAGGACAAGCAGAAATTAAATGAAGTTGAAATAACCAGAACAACTTTACGAAAAATACTAAAGAACATACTGTTCTTTGGACTGAGGATCAACAACAGCAGACAACAACTTGAGATTACCATACATTACAATACCACCCAGAACTCAATCCAAATATAGAAATATCTAAAGCAAAACAAACCTATAAGATTGAAAACGGGGAACCAGAGATATCACTTTATAATGAAGTCAACTACTAATCAAAAAGAGGGAATAGTGTGGATAGAGAACTTCCAAAGGGCAATGAAGTCAAGCAGATTTCAGTATAAAACAGACAGTTCTAAATGGGGGAAACACTTTTAATAAATTGCAGGGTATCCTTTAAGAAAATTAATACACCATCACATCAAAATAAAAGAAAGGAAAACCAGAAAATTTCTTAATCATTACCATAACAGAAATGAAAATGAAAAGAAAATCCACAACCCGATAAATTCAGTGCAGAAAATTATGTGGAACAAAGAAACCAGCAGCACCACACACAAAACCAAACTAAACAAAAAAACCCACAGCAAAATGACAGAAATCAATTTATACCTGTTGATAATTACACTGAATGTAAATGGATTAATTGCTGCAGTAGAGAGCTAGAGACCAGCAGAATGAATAAGGAAACAGGATCCTTCAACATGCTGTCTATAAGAGACATATCAAAAAAATGGAGGCAGCCTAAATGTATATCAGCAAAAGATTGGTCAAACTGACTTTGGTACATATGTACAATGGAATACTATGCAATGTTGAAGAATAATGATGAATCTGCAAAATACCTCATAATATGAATGAACCTGGAGGACATTATGCTGTGTGGAATCACAAAACAAAAAATACTGTTTGGGACCAATGTTGAAAAAAAGTTAAGAAAATGTCTTCCAAATAAAAGAGACATTATATGATGGTTACCGGGTTTGCAGAGGGAAAATTATTTATGGGCTAGAGAATAGACACATACTAACATGGGTGATGGGGCAGGCAATATACAAGAGGGTGGTTGGCAAAGTAAAATAAATGCAGTAGAAGACACAGGGATGAATGTAGGAGTTAAAGTGAATAGAGGTAATACTGGTAACTGATAGTACATGGAAGGGATTGCAATCATTGCAATGAAGAAAAGTACATGATTTGATCAATGTAAAACTGATGATCTGCACTGTAAGTCTTCACAGTAAACAGTTTTTTAAAAAGATGTACTTCTTGTGAAGCATTAAGCAATTACTGTTAACTCCTCCTCACATAGTACATAAAGCATTTCTGCATTACCAGTTTCCACTTTACTTATAGTACCTAGGCAGTTAGAAGAAAAGATGCCCAAATATCTCCAACTCTCCTCAATGATATAATACTGAACTAGGAGCCAGAACAAATTAGAACTCCACCTCTTGTAGAAATTATTACTGTAAGAAGCAAACTCTAGACATTTCTTGTGGAAAACAACAATTTCCTCCACAGAGGAAAAAAAAAAAATTAAGATGTTACATGGAAGCTATTTAGTGTGTGTGGCGGGTGGAGAGGGGGCACTATAGGAGGGAAGCTGTTAAGAAAATCCTTCAGAATTAAACATAGCTTAAATGTATCTAGCCCAATCTCTCTTTTAGAAACCTCCCAGGAACATTTT